ACCATTCGTGGGAAAATATTTGACCCAAATACTCTCTGCTCCCTGTGACATGGATCATAATTCTATCACAGTGAGCTGTTCCTTTTCTCAACCACAAATATATATAATCCAGTCATTCCAAAAACACATAAATCCTGTTTATTTCTTTTATAGACTCATACTTGAGCATGAATCTTTTTTGTTTCTTTTTCCTCTTTTTTATTTCCCCATTTGAGAAATATTTTCCCCAACCCCATTTTTAACAAGATATCTGGTCCTAAAGCTTAGTCATCTGGGAAAGTTTAGATTGTTCATAATTCTGAAAAAGAACTTCTCTAATTCTCTTGGGATGATGCATTTTTAGGAGCATCTAGGAAGCCACATGGGTGACTGAGTGGATGGGCTGATTTCTTAAGTTCTCGCGAATTGGATGGTTCAAAGGAAGACTCCTGGTATCTTTGTACTGTATGATGTTGGGATAATAAAGTCCACATACATTGACTTTGGAGAAGTTGTAAGATAAGTTTACCTTATGACATTTCCCCAAAATATTGATAGATCTCCTGGAAGGAGAATCTCAAGTTCCTCCAAAGTTCCTTTACACTTATCCCTGGTGACTCTTGAACTATTTCTGGTAGAATCATGACCCAAAGGTCTGATGCTTCCAGTGAAAAGGTTCAGGATAAAAGTACTATCTAAGCAAGTATAATTTCTATTGCTTTTCTGACTCCTTCATTGAAGAAACATAATTCCAGGACATAAAGTTTACCTTTTGAGTACCCATTAGAATTTCATTATATGTCAAAGCCATGTGATTTTAAAAATAAACTAGAAATGTTTGGGGAGATATGTTCTTCAAAATATTTCTTCATGAAACATGTTCTGACCTTCAATTAATTCATAATCTACGCAACTCTGTAGATAACCTACTGAATGTGGATTAGCTAAAGTTTCACAAAGACTTGTATTGCAGAGACATATTTTACTTTAGATTAAATAAGACTTAACAATTCCCCCAATATACAAATAATAAGAAATTAGCTAAGACTATCTCAGTCAAAACAGGAAAATTCAATTGAAGTGAGCTACTTGTGATATATTTAGACTCATAGGAATGATAATTAGCAATAAAATAATTCTTCTTAGTTTAGAATATCTAGAAAGTTGATTGCTGTAAGAAAGAGCACAGATGAGGTTCACTGGACAAGCATTACTGTTTAGGTCAGACAGAATTCAATTATGTCTTTTTTTATATTAATGCCCTGAAATAATATCTAAACAGGTAGTTAATTTGGGTGTTGTAAAAATGGCTCAGTGATTGAGAAGCAACCTATGACCCAGGAGGTTATGGTTGGATTTCTGTTCAGGCATATGCCCGGGTTGTGGGCTCGATCCCTGGTGGGAGGTGTGCACGAGGCAGCCGATCAATGATTCTCTCTCATCACTGATGTTTCTATCTTTCTCTCCCTCTCCTGTCCTCTCTGAAATCAATAAAAAATTATATATTTTTTAAAAAATGTCTGGGACAAGAAGGTAAAAGTCATCATGCTCCCTTATGTAAGAGAAGTAAAAACACTATAAATTATTTCATAACCTTCCTGTTTACTGCACAGATAATGCAAAAAAACATAGATTAAAAACTTGAGAAATATGTATTATGCAAATTTACTTAGCATAAATAGTCTGAAAACCACAATATATAAAATAAGTAAAAACTGTTTTATTGCAATAACAAACACCTGCGGATTGCTGAAACTGGTTTGGCTCAGTGGATAGAGCGTCGTCCTGCTGACTGAAGGGTCCCAGGTTCGATTCCAGTCAAGGGCATATACCTTGGTTGCGGGCACATCCCCAAATAGATGTGCAAGAGGCAGCTGATCAATGACTTTCTCTCATCGATATTTCTAACTATCTCTCTCCCTTCCTCTCTGTAAAAAATCAATAAAATATATTTTTTTAAAAACACCTGCTGATAAATGTATTTGAGAATAATTTATGTGCTCAATTAAATATATCTAAAACATATTATAACAATCATTTTCTTATTTAAAATATGAAGTATTATTACTATGCCAGTTAGAATAATAAGTATTTTTCCTTAAGTTAAAAAATGGTGTCACTAACATCAGACATCTCTTTGGGTTGATTTTTCATTTGTGGTACTAAATGTTGTGATGGTTTTTAACGAAGACCATTATGATCAGTATCTCCAATGCACAACAGAGTTGGAAGATTTTTTTTTTTTACAGTTATAGTGACTATGTAAGTTTTGAACTGATGATGGTAGCATTATCATACTTTATTTAACCAATGGGCCTGGATTGCTCCAATGTCTATTGGTTTGAGAAAAATTGAATCCGTGGGCACCCTACCTGTTATCATGGAAGTAGAAATTCTTTTCTGCCTTTTTTTGTCACCTTTGATCTTAACATGACAACATAAAATATTTTGATTTGTTGTCTTGCATACACATTTATATTGACAGAGAGAGGATCCCTTGGCCTTGTTACTTACTGTTTTTATCTTTTCACTTCTTTTGCCACTAACCACACATATCATTGCATTAAGAGACCTAGCCTTTGGACCTTGTCCTCTTCAGTTCCAGGCCACACAGAATCATTAGCATGATCTTTCTCAAGTACTGTTGTGATGCTTTCTCCTCTATTAAGAATAGTTAGTAACTTTCTATTGCATGTTGTATCCGAACTCAATGATAGTATAAAGTTTTTACTGTTACCATTGCAGGCATATCAGTCTAATGAGGCCTTCCTTTTTGGTTGTTTTGCATACGTGTGTTGTGTCTACATGACACCTTTTATAAGCTGTAGGGAAGGATCTTTATATCTGACATTCCCACATTTCCATAACCTGACCTCCCCATCCCTCATCCCAGAACCACAACAGCTCAAACTCTACCTTTGTACACAGACATGCCTAATACATATTTGATGACTGAACTACATTCTAAATATAGAATTATTTATATGCAGAAGTATATATACCAGAGAATGATAACATTGGTTATCCTCAGCAATGGTTCTGTGAATTTTAATTGTACAGATAGAATCTGATCACGTGCACTCACCAATCCCATAGACACCCAGCAAAATGCCTTCATATTACCAATGGTTTAAACAAGAAAACATTACATTTTGCATATTTACATGTAATTGGTTAACTGAGACAATGACTTAGAATGACTTGGTTTTCTAAATATGTAATGTACTCTTATTTTCTAGATCCTAGAACAAATTGACATATTTTGTTCCTTACCTGTTACGTGAAATTTTAAACAAATCAGGAAAAATATAGATGGGTTTTTCTACATTTTATAATGTAAAAGTAAGCAAATATCTTGGCATTGTTAATATAAAGGGAGAGAATTACTACTTTCACATAGCCTTTGCAGCTTGACCTTTTATTAGTATCTCCAAGTTGTTAGCATCTCAAATGTCCTTGCATTTTAAACTATTTCAAAACTTGTCTTTCCATAATGATTTTAATTGAATCTCCTAGGATGCCATTTTAATCATGGTAATCAGCCACAGCATATAATTAGATTTCCATCAGAGACGCTAATGCTATGGAATAATATGGGAGTAGATGCATAAAAGTTACATCTAGGTGGGCTTCTTCTCCTGACCTCCCCCTTTTCCATGCAAGTGCACTTAAAAAGGTTGGTAATTCATCACAGAGAGCAGAGGTTGCTTTCACTTGTCCCACACGACGTGGAAAGTGTTGTCCAGGGCAGCTAGACTTTTCACTAAGGCAATTACTTCCCTTAAGACCAACCAAAGAAAACAGACTTATTTGTAGAATGACTGCTTAGGGGTGAGAGTGCACCCTTTGGTCATGCCAGAGACTGAAGCTCTGTGGGGTGGTTGGCATGGGTGAGGTGGGGGGCACGGGTGAGGAGGAACAGTGAGCGGGCTCCTCCGTAGCCCACATTGCTCTACTCCACTGCGTTACAGGTCCTGAATTACCAGCAGTGAGTTATTCCTTTTCAGTTATTAATATTAGATTTCTTTAAAGCCTGCTTTTATGTCTTTCCATTAATCATCTATGTAATTTTAGAAGTCAAAATGCATGAGGCTCAGAGCTAATTATGCATTCTATTATGCCTTTAGATATCTGGATGAAAGTCATGTTCCAACACTCAATCCCTTCCCTAAAACTAATTTCCACAAGTGATGATTTAATGATCTATTTACTTTAAAGGTTTGCCTTAGGGACAATGATTAATCTGGTTAGCTAGCTTGAAAGAATAGACATTTTCTCTCATGAAATATGTAAGTCTTTAGAAAAATTATGTGGGCTTTGAAAATACATTTAATAAAACATGTTTTGACTATCTATCCCCAGGTAGAGAGAACCCATTATATTTATATAGCGTATCAGAGCCATTGATTAGCCACGGGAAGCAACGAGCTGCGGAAGCTGTGTGGATGAGGGCAAATTGCAGTTTTGTTTTTCAAAGCCAGAATGTGTGAGTGAAAAAAGAATGATAAAATGACAGAATCCTTAAATGTGCTGATTGCTGATCAGTTTTCCGGGATCACTGTTTTATTATTCATATCACCATATGTATCACTAGCTTGCTAGGAGCACAAACATCAGTCTTATGTATGCCTTTTAATTTGATCTCTTAATTCCTTTTTATTCTGCAGTTTTGAATGACATCTGTCTTCAGTACCAACATCCATGACTTCTATGTATAGGTGCTCTACTTGGTTACAATATTCTCCTATTACTTCTAACAGCAGAGTGCAGTATTTTGCAAGCAGAGGTTCCTTTGTGATTTAGTATATATTCATTTCTGTTAGTCTGTGGGGTTTTTTTTTTTTGTTTTTTTTTTTAGCTCTTATAATACAGTTCAATCAGAATGCGTGCAAAACCCTTCTGCTCTGAGGTTTACATTAATATTTCCTAAAACTCAAGTCAGAGATATGACTTCAATCAAGTTCTGGATTTAGTGAGAACAAAAGCAAGGTGGATGTTAGGTAGGGAAGGACGGTCCCAGGCTAGATATCGGTCTCCATGCCCGAGCCACATTTGCGGCAGAAGATTTCCTTGTCCTGGGTCAGGAAGCCTTCCCCCACCAAGGAGACCGAGCACTTCCCACAGTTAAAGCATTCGCTGTGCCACTGACGGTCTTGAAAGCAGATAAACTTGGCACCTCTGAGACCTGTAAAAATAGAGAAAAAGAATAATCTATTCTTTCAATGAATAGATGGAGCATTCAATCGGGACCTCTTTTAGGAACTGGAGATGCAGTAAGATTACACTGAGGCAAGTAACTCCAAAAAGGAATGCTGTCCCCATTGCTCTGTATCCATCTGGGAATGTCACCCAGACAACAAATTCCCCAGAAGAGATCCAGTCGGATTCCAAGTGAAAGCTTTCTGTTATCTACACAAGTAGGTAGAATTTGAATATAAAAAAGCACATAATTTTGGAAGCAGATAAGGACTGCTAAGACAGGTAAGGAAATACAGTAGTACACTGGGAATAAATATTCAAATAGAGATATCTTGTTCTTTTCTCTTGTTGTGCCCTTGCTTTCTTAGAGACAATATTTGTATAAAATAAAATAAAATTGTACTTCATAGCCTGATGTCTGGTGTTTTAATGACTTTTATTTCTACTCCTTCTTTTTCCACACTTAAATTTTACTTAGGATAAAGTTCTATGCTTATATTGTGGTTTGGGGTACAATTTCCAAATGTCCCAAATCTAGACCTTTATCCAGATTATCAGGTGGCTAGCCTAACATGATGACCTCATTATCTTGCCCAGAGATAACTTCAGCTTGTGACAAAGATCTGTGGATCTGATCACTCTGAAACCATGCTATCCCATGATTAGCTTTTAAGAAGTGCCTTGTCATCCTTCAACCTCTTGGGCCTCTCTGGAGCCATAGTGTTTGAAGAAAGGTAGCATTTGAGTCTTCAGTGGACACTATCTCTATATTCTTAATATGAATCCAAGACAGAGTTCAAGGAATTGGTTTTGAGAAGTTGTAGAAAAGAAGAAAGGTAGGAATTGGAATATCCCTAAGCTTGGGTCTTTATTTATTTGCCAAGGTTTTTTTGTTTTTGTTTTTTTTTCAAGTGACCTTAATACTGTGAACTTCCTGTGATTTGTATTATAGAATGAGGCTAAAACAGTTCCATGTGCTTATTCACATATAATTTCCAAATAGTCCATTTGGGATGGTAAAGCAGAAAGAGTGAATAAGCATTCTATTTCAGATAAACTCTCCTTAATATTATAATGGACTATTTCCATTTCCACCCTAGAAACATTATTTGATGTCTTTACATATAATTTACTAATTCATAGATACATTTATATAAAATTATTCTACTTTCCTTGATTAAATAAATTTATAGCTTGCTATTTTTGATGCTATCATCACTTTCTAATAAGAGTAAATCAATAATGAACCAATTAATTCCTTTAATGTTATTCAAAACATTGATAAGCTGATTGCAAGAATGATGTTCTCTATAAATATAAATCATCTCTGTTCATAAAACTAATTATTACACATTTAGAATTGTGATGCTCATGAGGTTTTCTTGAGTTTATTAGTAAGCCTGTACAGTGGCAAATGTAAAAACAATTCTAGAATTTGACAAAGGGGAAAATCAGGAGCATTTGGTAGCAGGAATTTAAGAAAGGCCTGACTGATCCTGTGATGTTTATAAATTGTTTCAATTTTAGATATGCTTACGCCCTCAGGCCATGAGGGTTGTCTGCAGTAAGAGAGTCATACAGGAAACAGGTTTCCAGCACTTGTTTTTATCTGGCTTCATTTACTTCAAAAAATTCAGTAAAATAAGAACTAACATTGATTGAACACTTAAAGATGAACCCATCAATATTCTAAGCCCTTTACATGTATTATTTCATATAACTCTCACTTCACCTTCATGGGGAAGATGTTATCACCAACCCTACTTTGCATACAGAAATTGACAGAGAGGTTCAAGTCTTTGCCCAAATCACCCAGCTCGCAAGTGGCAGATTTGGATTTAATCCAAGGCTCCCTGGTTTCAGAGCCTATGTATGCTTTTAACCCCACTAAATTAAGCCTGAATTTATCTTTTGTAAAAAAAAATAATCTGAAACATTAGTATCCCTTTTTGAAGAAATCATAATATTTGAAACCCCTTTTAGTTAAAATAAACAAGTGAAAGAAAGCTAAAATGTAATCCTGCTCAACTCCTTATTTTGAAAATAAGGCCAATGAGGACCTCAGAGGTGAATTGTTTACCCATTTTCACACAATAGGAGCAGAGGCAAGACTAAAGTATGGATTTACTCTCTAGTCCAAAGTACTTTGCACTACACCAAGTTACTTCATTTATCCCCAAAAGTTTGAAAGGTTAGTCTTATCTTAGAGGAAGAAACAACATATTTTTACATTAGGTTTGTTCAGATGGCTCAAATTTGTTGTGATGGGGTTAAAAATTTTTACCAGATGCCTTAGAGATTTAGTTAACATAAAATAGTATTTTTAAAACAGTCTAACATAGTTCCTTACAGTGATATATTGTTTGCTTGAATGTACAACTTTCAGAAGAGATGATAGTATAAGAATTCTCTATGGAATGTTATTTCAAATAGCTCAATTTAAAAGAAGCACTACTCTAGGACATATATATCAATAATAAGTATAAGAATCAGATAAAAAAATATTAGAGCAAGTTGGAAGTTTAGTACCTAGTATCTCTCAGTTACAGAGCCAAAAGGAGATTAAGATAATTATCAAAAGATGAGTTATTCTACATTAAATAGATAATCTTGGATTACTTTTGTGTCAAATCTCTGGTTCCTGATCATCCTTCTGTGACATCCAGAAAACTGGTTTTTCTGTTTGAACCTTAAAAACTGAGTTCAGTGATCAACTTGCTAGAATACATCAGAAAAAAATTTCCTAGACACATGAATCTGTTATGGATCAGAACTGAAACTGATCAAGTTCAGGGCTTGTGTAGGCTCTTTACAAATAGTATTGGCCAGTTGGGTTCCCCCAAAGTTTTCAAATCTATTTTGAGTCTCACCTCACCTTACCTTCATGAGGAAGATGTTATCACCAACCCTACTTTGTGTGATTTTCTAATTTTCTCATGGAAGCTTCCCCGCCCCCCTTTTTTTTTTTTTGACTAGTTCAAGAAAAGTGTTCTAGAATAAGTCAACTGAATCAGTTGGGTTGTGATGGCAGACTCCACGAAGGAGATTTTGGAGCTATGACATTTCTATAAGACCCATTTTCTAGATAAAATCAGGGAAGATAATGGCTTTTTCTTTTAACTTCAGGAGTTGTCTGAAGATTCATGAAGATTCAACTTTTATTTTGTGAAACATCTGAAGATGGAGGAGAGGGAGAGGGATACAGTAAACTTTAATTCCATGTTACATAAACTGAGCAAAAATATGAAATATTGTTTGAGAATACTGGGCATGGAGAGTTCTCCCACATCATTCAGTGACTATAAATTACCCAGCAGAGTGATGGTGGGTCTTCTCAGCGGCCGTGCTAGCCTTAGTTCTTTAACTACAGGGTAAGCATGTTAGAAGGGTCTCTGAGGAAAAGGCAATGCTTTGTTTGTTGCCTTGAAAATCTATATTTAACACAGATTGTTTACCACTTATGTTATTTTCAAATCATGCCATGTGTACTTTTGTTTCTGTGGCAGAATACTATCTGGTTTTATTTTATCTATTCATGATTAAAACTTAATGCATGGGAAAATAAAATAGTACACTTGTTAGAAACATTTTAAAATGAAGTATAATTAATTCGTAACCTATGCTACCCTAATTAGTACAGCTTTGGGTTTCGGTACAATACTTACATTTAATTAAAACTTTTCCCATTTTTAAGGCCCTTTCATCCTTGTTCGGAATTAAGCAGGATTTTTATTTTCAAATATCCCTTCCTTCCACTCGAATCCTTAAAGGTCCAGCTCAGACCAGGCCTCCTCATGAAGGTGTCTATGTCTCAGCTCATTCTGTTCTCCTCTTCCTCTGAACTTTTCTTTTATTGAGAGTCAGTACCATTACAGATAGCATTAATAATCCTCTAGAGCAGGGGTGGGGAACCTTTTTTCTGCCAAGAGCCATTTAGATATTTATAACATCATTCACAGGCCATACAGAATTACCAACTTAAAAATTAGCCTGCTATATTTGGTCAAACATATACTTAACTCACCCCTAATGCCTTGACAAGGCCAAACCAAATTATTTCATTGGCCTTATAACAAATAATTTCACAGGCCTCTAGTGCATAGCTACCCTAATTATAATCTATATTTGTGTGGAAGGGTCTGTGTAATAATAATGCTTATATATTTGTGTCTATCTAGAAAAAAAAAACCACAAGAAAAATATTAACACCTTCCCCCTCTTCTTTCCCCCCCGCCCCCAGAGTGAACTATATAGCATTTACATAGCCATAACTATCTCATGGAAGGCCTGTATTCAACTAAAGAACTCACCAGTAATGGGTTTGGCACAGGCCACACACTTTTTAGCATAAAGATGGTTGTAACAGTCCAAGCAGAATGGATAATCATCTCTGGACATAAATTCTTCATCACAGAGCTCTTTCCTGCAGCCACTACACAGAAAACACTCTTTATGCCACGGCTGGTCATGAAATGTTATCCAACCTGAAGTAATCACCTGCCAAAGGATCACAAAAAAAGTAATGATGGTGGGAGCTGTGAGAATTCAGACCTTTGTGATTCTCTTCTATGTCCACAGGTGATTCTTTGGGCTACTTGGTCATGTTGTGTCAGGCTGTCCTTTACCTAAGATTTTTTTGGATGGATATGAGAAGCAAAAGGCTATAGAGATATGAACTGTGGATACACATCTTAATTTTTCTCCCATAATGGAGCAAAAAGGAAACAGGGCTATAATGGACCCATAAAAAATAAAGAGAAGTCGGCTGTTGATTTCTTTGCTTATCTTCCTATGACTTTCATGTTGGTCTTCAAAGAGCTGCCAGTAGATCTAACATATTTCCATGTTTGCCTTTTAAGGATGCTGAATAGGACACTTTTTTTTTCTCCCCTGAAGGCTTTCCTCCAGACTCAAGAATATCCAGCAGTAACAGCCCTGAATGGAATGGATAAGTACCATCATCTGTTAGTAATGAGCTAAACTTCTTAAGTGTTTTTTTTTTTTCTTCAGCCCTGTGCTAAGGGGTGGCCTCCTCTTACTATTCTCAACATACCAATGAAGTTTTATCTTTCCCCCTTATGAGATGAGTAAGTACTTGGGAGTAGAATGGTTGTCCCTTGCCAGGGTCACACAGAGCTAAAGCTAGCATTCAAGCCTGCACAGTCTGATCCCAGAACCCATGTGCTTAAACATGAATACAATACTGAGGCAAGATAACATTGCAATGGTAAACAGTTGATAAGTCCTTGTTGAATGAGTGAATAAACACCAAGGGGAAGAGTGTTTGGGAAGCAATTCCAATATTGTATCTAGCACAAATGGGATACTGTGGGCAACAGTGAAAATTTTCAGCTTTAAGACTCTAAGAGCACTGGTTGTACATTGACGTGTGATGTGCTAGACTTTTGTCAGAGATGGTTATTATTCCTCCATAATGATTTTTTTTCTATACCAGTTTAATCCTTGGGTTCTACTTTTTAAAAGGCTGAGACATCTTTCTTTGGGATAATAGAGGTAAAAACTATGTAACAATTTTTAAGTCATAGCACCTTTCAGAACCATGGCTATTGATTTGCAGTAGCTGTGGAACTCGGCATGTGTTAATGTAACTGTCTTAAAATGACTGAAGCAACGTTGTACCTGGATGGTTCTTATAACCTTTGTATTTCAATGAAGTAGATAAGCCATTAAAATGTTATTTGCCTGTAATATAGAGTTTTAAAATAATTATTCTAAAGATATTTTAAAATATAACAAAACATCTTAAAAATTAAAGGTATTATGCCGGGACCAGTTTGGCTCAGTGGATAGAGCGTCTGCCTGTGGATTGAAAGGTCCTGGGTTCGATTCCGGGCAAGGGCATGTACCTTGGTTGCAGATACATCCCCGGTGGGGGGTGTGCAAGAGGCAGCTGATCGATGATTCTCTCTCATCGATGTTTCTAACTCTCTATCCCTCTCTCTTCCTCTCTGTGAAAAATCAATAAAAAAAAATATAAAAAAATTAAAGGTATTATGAAGAAAAGTTATTGATCCTAAAAGGAAAAAAGAACACTATGCTAAAATAAGTAAACGGGAAACATGATGATGTGTGAACACAAGCGATTTCAAATATTCCCTACTGACTTGAAATGTCTTAGAGCAGGCACAGTGGAATTCAAGATTCCTTTGATTTGGTTTGGTCAAATGATTAGAAGGCAAAGCTTAAAAGATTCAAACTTGAAAAAAATATGTTCATAGCAAAGTAAAACTTGATATGTACAGCAAAGACTGTTTAATTAGGGAGAAGACACCCAGGACATTAAAACAGATTGCTTGTGATCATGTCCCTTTTGAAGAGGCAGGTGGGCTAAGATGAAGTTTTTTGCCACTGATTGATGCCAGGATTTAGATCATGTTTCTTCTCTGACAAAGTGGAGGCAATAATGATTTTACATTTAGTAGATGACAGCTGATAAATTGCAGAATACTCTATTTGAACCTTAAGAAGTTTGAATGCAAAGCACTTGTGGTTTGAGGTTACTTGCTGATGGGTAGAAAACAAAATTTAGTTTCACAAAATAAAATTTCTCTGAAAAAAACTTCTAAGTGCCTGATTGCCAAGTAGTTTTGCCTAAGTTTTAAAAAAGTACTTAATATTTGATTAGATTGAAACAAATTGTTTTTCTTCAGATTGGATCATTTTGATGAGAAACGTTTATATCCAGCTTTCCTTAAAGGACTTATGGCTTAAAAAATTAAATAGAAAATAATGTGGCATGTCAACGATCTGTCTACTATTCAATATAAATTTTTAGTGACTTCAAGCCATGTCCTAAATATAGAATAGGTTCCTATAACCTGGAAAATGCCAGAGGTTTGGCCCCAGACAGTGCTCAGCAGCTGATGTACTAGTGTAGTTCCCTTCTTGAATCTTTACAGTATTCGAACAAACTTTATATTGTTTCCCCAATAGATGACATTAAGATAATTCCCATAAGTCTCATTACTATTTTAAAATTAATCTTTAAGATACAGTAAAAAAAATGGCTAACTTCATTGCCCCTCAAAATAGTGAGATAGATCTATTCATTTTTATTTCCAGCATCTGTTTCTAAATGTATGTCGTTGACTTTGATAATTCTTTGGAGCTTCACATGTTCCAGGGTCATTGGGTCTATATCTTTTGAAGCCATTTTCCAAGTCAATGTTTCTGGTAGAGGAATGGAAGTCTTCAGGTATAGGATGTCATGTTCTATCACTTGTAAGTTTCAGACATCATTATAGTATAATTTAAGAATGATAATTTAGGGGTTTATTGATGCCACCTCAGATGCAGTAGTAGTATTTTAAATATGCCTAAAAAATTACTGTGTGTTTGTATGCATGTGTGTTTGTCTATGCACTTGTAGAAAGTGGTAATGAGATTTCTAGCTTTCCAGATGCAAGAATACAAAAGGTCCTAAGAGAGCTGCCAAAAGTGTTGAGGAATCACTGTAGTAATCCAATGTATTCTCATGCTTCAGCTCTCTCATCACAATTTATAGTGCTATTTTAAACTTATGATGCCTCAGGGTCAAGGATTTCTTCGAGAACATCAATATATATTTTATAGACTATAGACAGGTTTTGTAAAGGTGACAAAGATGAGCAACTTTTTCACAAAATAAGCTTAGAGAATAAAAAAGAATTGGGCAAAGTTTACTCGAAAAAAATGACTTTTTTTTTCTATTGGAAAAAAATGTTTGGAATGAATATCAAAGTTAAAGGAAGTGAAGGAAGCCACAAAGATCTTAGTCATCTGTCTTTGTGTTTAATGAATTTCCCTAATGATCTCCCTTGAGCCTCCTATCTACTCTTTAGAAACATAAAAGCTTCAAGCCAGAAGACATTGGTATTGCTGAGACATGTGAGAAGTTAAACATCTTGCTTAAATTGGTTCATTTTATCACTCTGTGAGACAAACCCATATTTTTCTGAAATGAAATGGATCGAAAATTATTTTCTTTGCAATATTTTGTTCAAAGGGGGGGAGGGGTGTTCTCTACTGGAATACATGAAATTAGTTAAAAGCAGTGAATGGAACTGGAATATTGAGTCACTTAAATGTTGGAATGTTAAATTAATGTTCTGGGTGGAATTTTATGGTGAGAAGAAATAGATGGCCAACTTCAATGTGACAGGTAGTGCTTTGGACATGTTGGAATTCACACTAAACACAAATGTTACCTGGTAGTATCAGTTCACTTCCACTACATAATACAGCTAAAAGGCAGCGGTCTGGAAGATTCCACAAACTTTATCTACTTTAGATAATTACCTTCTTACAAAAGTTGCAGGAGGGAGCAAACTCCTTCTGAAAACACCGCACACAGTAATTGCCACTCTCTTTGGAAATCAAAGGTTTAGTTCCTATTGGCTGTCGGCAATGCTCACACACAAAACAGGTTTCATGCCAGTAGTTTCCCTTAAATTCCATTTTGCGGGAACCTGTACCCCAAAAGTAATAGCCTGTTAGTATAAATCAAGCATAGCTTTATAGCCTTTTAACGAAGATATGTCAAATTATTTAACTATTTTAAAGTTAAGGTGATAAATTAATTATCCTTATAAAAATAATGTTTTGTTGGGTTCTAAAATATTTATCTGGGGGGAGGGGGAAGCAAAGAATTCAGACATGATGATGGTTATTCACTCTTTCACTGAAAAGTCCTGTGCTTTGGAAGCTACAATTTTGAAATGTGCAGGTGTAATAAGCAGAGACTCCGAGAGGCTGCACATAGTTTAGATAAATTGGGCCATAATCATCCTTACAAGACTATTAGGAATGCCAAGGGCACAAACTCATTAAGATTGATGCTGTGCAGTTATGATCAACTAGAAAATATTCGAATCCATAATAAGAAAATAAGAGAGTCATATTCTTATGCTGCTGTCTGTACAGATTGAGAAGAGGCTCAAAATCAAAGAGAATTAGTGCTTGCCTAAAAGTATAATGATTACATGGATCCTTGTCTTCCTTAAGAGAGAACAAAACTGCTACTGGTTATATCTAGGACAGGGCATGTAACGCAATGTTAGCATTATTGGTATAGATTCTATCTTTAATCTACGGCTCACATTCTCATTCAAAATGTTCTATGACCTAGGTTTAGTTTTCCCATTCAAGACAGAAATAATAATGACTTATTTCTACAGTACACTAAGTGAGATCAAGGGATAGCAGGAAAGGTATTTTTCTCAGAAGCATGTTTTTGTTGTTAACTAGTATACTCGTCTGTGCTTGGGCTTAGTTGAAAGCACGGTGACTTCGGTTAGTGACCAGCACTCCCCGTTGATCTTACCAGGCATGATGGTCTTCTTGCAGTGGAAGCACTTGGAGGAGCACTCATCAGAATAGCACTCCGAGCATAGCAGGCGCTCATCCTTGGCAGCAAAAGGCTTTTCCACCAAAGAGTGATTGCATTTGGCACAGTTGAAGCATATTTCATGCCAGTGCCGGCCTTTGTAACAAAGATCCTCGGAGACAGTGAATAAAAGTTAATTAAATGCGCTTCAACAAAACAAGACGTTTTATAAGACAAAACTAAACACTCCTGGGACTCTGGTGTCAGTAGGTTGTGTTGGTAGCTTGAGGGAAAGTTGTTATTGATACTATTACCCATTGAGAGGAGATTGGGGCAATTAAGAGTTAGAGCCTGGGATTTTGTTGGTTGGAAAAGAATTGGAGACTCTCCTATTTCTTCAAATTTCCTCTACCTTCCTTTTATAAACAAGAGAGGCTTGTCATGGAATAATCTTTACTTTTATTTTATTTTTAAATATTTTTATTGTTTTTTAGAGAGAGAAGAAGGGAGAAAAAGAGAAACATCAATGTGAGAGTGAAACACTGGTCACTGCTGCACACCCCCTACCAGAGATCAAGGTTAAAACCTAGGCATATGCCCTGACCTGGAATCAAACCAGCAACCTCTCAGTGCATAGATGCCGTCCAACCATTGACCTACACTGGCTAGAGACAGTCTTTACTTTTAGGATGTTATATCTTACTAGAGGCCCAATGCACAAAATTCGTGCAAGAGTAGGCCTTCCTTCCTGTGGCTGCCAGCACTGGCTTCCCTCTGGCACATGGACTCGGGCTTCCCTTGCAGTCCCGGCTTCATCTGGAAGAATGCCTGGCCTAATTAGCATATTGTGATTTTATTATTATAATTTATTATTTGAGATTTGACTAAACAAAATCTCAACACTAGCTAGATAAAATAAAGGCAAAATATTAGAAAAAGAAAAAATGCAATAATTTGCTTTGTAGAAGGAATGAGCTTTATGTGAGAAAGGCATCGGTGCACAATGGATGTGGAGATGAGACTGAGATAAAGCCAGAAAATAGATTCTTGAATCTTTACACATCTTATTATCTATATATTTATTCATTTATACCCTTTTGATTTCAGAAATAACACATTTTATTGGTGTAACTTTGGACAAATAGCCTCTTTAACATTTAGCATCCTAAACTATCTCCTAAAATCATTGCAAGGATTAAAGTATATGTTATATTTAATAGTGCTAAGCATGGTGCCTGGAACTTGGTTGATGGTGACTTTGAAGATCCTTATACCCTGCAGCAGAGCAGTAGAGTATTAACGTTAACTAAAGGAAAAAAAGGCGTTCCAAAGCATTTGTCTGCTCATAAGCAATAATTCTGTGAACTGACAGAAGAACCTACCTTGGAACCTGATTCAATTGCTTCTTTGCACTCCTCACAATAGTTACAAAAGACACGATCATAACATTTGAGGCAGTATGGATTGCCATCCTTCAGCATAAATTTCTTCCCAAGAAGTGATACTGAGCAGTATTGACAGTCAAATTGAGAAGCTGTCATTTTGCTTCAATCCTGTAAATAAGAAAATGATCCATGTATATAAAAGCAAATTTTGTTGATGAAAGAGATTGTAAAGCCTCAGTACAATGTGAGTCAAGCACTGAAGTGAATTTGTGTTTTCTTAAGAGAAAATTCACCAATTTAGGAATATATGTGGTAGCCATGCTGACAAGGAGGGATTTGGGAAAAGCTACTCTCCGATCCTGGCAGTTCCTGAGTCTTTTGCTAACAAAGTGCATCAAGTGGGCAACCAGTTTGTGGAAAACCTCTTGCATTCATCATTCACTCAAGGTGGAATTCAATGAGAATGTGCTATGTGTTGAAATAGGATGGTTCCACTTCAGGGATATAAATAGCCCTGTTGATAGGGCTTTCGCTAGCTGTCATAACTTACTTACTTACTTACTTACTTACTTACTTACTTTATTTATTTATTTATTTATTTATTTATTTATTTATTTATTTATTTATTTATTTATTTATTTGCTGGAGAGGTCTGGAGGCAGAGTTCCATGGAAATAAGAAGTCTTTTTTACTCATACTGCAATAGAAGTCATTAATCAAGTACAGGACATTTTCTAGACCATTCTTTTAGTTCTTAAATCTTTGTTGGGTACCTAATGATTTGTACACATTAGTCCTAAGATCTTCCTGTACCATATATTCTCCTTTGGGATATGCTACCTACTTGTGGCTTCAAATATTCCATTGACTCCAAAATCTATAGCTTTGGCCTGTTTATGACTTGCTTCCTGGACATCTCATTTAAGTGGCCCACCCCAATACCAAGATGACCAAATAAAACTCCTCAGCTGGGAGGCTGCAGTCCAAGCACCATGTCTTTGTGACTGCAGTTGAGCAATTGCCCAGATACGGAAGTGCAGATAAAAGCATCAATGATAGAAAGAGCCATAGCCTTCTTTAGACTTTAGGGCTAAACTAACATGTATACAGAACAAATAGCAGTGCAGCATCTTACAGGATGAAACACTGATATGAAATATAAAGCCAAAGCCAGAATAAGAATTTGAGTTATTTTCTAAATCTAAGAAAACATTAAAGAACAAAACCTGAAGATGTCAAAAGGTGTAATTATGCATTGTACATGTGTGTTTCATTGTCATCAAAAGCAGTAGCACCGATTTTATTCTTAAGTGAGATTTGTCATTTCTGGATTTACTAGATTAAGAGCTATGAATATTTTAAAAATTTTCACCTCAGACTTTTTTTTTAATTTTAGCTAAATCAGAAAGTAAATTAATTAGTATTATATAATGCGTTTTACAGTATCATATATGCTAGTTTTTATTTGCTACATTTAAATTATATTCCCACACATTTTGCCTTCTTTCATTTTAAAGATGACCTTTCCAGCAGAGTGTCTTTCTGCATATCCATTGATTCTGTATATAGTAGTTTCGCTATATAGTGTTATTCACTAATAGAGGAAACACCGAGGATTTGGAACAAGTGAGTCTTTCCCCAAGGAACATGAAAATTCAGACTAAGAAGTTCCCAATGGAACATCCCAAACTTATCCATCTGCAAGGAACATTGAATTCTGTATTTAATTAATTTCCCAGAAATGCCCTTTCCTCTTGAGTACAAGTACATTCAATGTGTTACTGAGGGAGTGGAGACAGGAGAAATAGAGCTGATTTCCTTGAAAGACTTTAAAATGCAAGTTTTATGCTCATTCACAGTGATGAAGTATTTATCTCTTAGTGTTTAATAGTGAAATAGGGCATATACTTCTAACTTTTATCACTTAATATGAAAAATGTCATTTTCATCGTGATACATATTTAACCTTAGATGTATAGAATAGTACTCTGAAGCATAGCCCCTTAGAACTGGGAACTCCCAAAGTACTTCCACTTTGCAAGGCTTTTAGTATGTTATAAAATGAAGAAACAACAAAAAAAGATTTCAAAATTGGTAAATAGTTTGAAATATATAGGAAGTGTTTCATTTCTTAAGTCAAACTGTAATTTCTTATCCTTTACATATATTAGAGACATTGTTTTCTATATGTCATGTTTTAATTTCTACAGGGTGTTTAAAATAAGAGGATGATAAATAAGTAGAAGTAATATGTCCTTTCTTTTTGTTTATCAACAGATAAATAATCCAGATGGGTGTAGCATAACCAGAGAAGGGTTTTGTGAGCTGATGGTAGGCATGGAAGTTGTCCAGACAAGGAAGATCCAGGATGCTATAGGCTGATGCAAAGGGTAGACTGCTGAGGGGGACCATTTGAGATGCAAGAGAGGGAAGGAAACAATAAAGTTCTCCCTCTCCGTCTCTCAGTACTCAGTTACCATGGGAATGTGCAAAGCAAGGACATGGTTCCAATATACATGAGCTTCATACATGAGCATTGTACAAGTTAAGAACAACCTGTACATGTCCTGTTACTTTCCTGCCATAGATTGCAAGTTTCAAAAATGAGAGGACTCTACCATCTTATGATGGCGTTGAAATGTACTAGATGATAATGTGGGCATTCTGATTTCCAATGTGTCTATGTAAATGTGCTTTAGAGGAATTTTATTTACTTGAAGGAATTAAATGACCATATACCCTTTATTGTAAATATCAATTATAAATTACTACATTGATTTGATTACAGCCTTTTCCCATTAAAGCAGATAATACTATGTAAAATCATCACATTGTTTACATGTATTAAAATAGAGGATATACAGTGAGTGATAACTAAGATTACTTCTATCTCTGTAAGTTTTGCTAAATAGATGCAAGTGACGCCATAACCACTACTTTTGCACATATGCCCAAGTGCACTGTTCTGCACAGTTTGACTTCCAGCTTAATTTTCATCTGGTTACTCACAGTAGCCTCACTCTGCCTGCATAAATACAGCTCTGTTAAACTGAAAGTGCCACAGGACTATTTCAATTGCCCATTCAGGTCTTTCCTTGATTTTATAAAGCAAATTTGATTCTGTTTTTCTTCAGGAAAGAACTTGAAAGAATTTAAATATAAATGGCCTAAGGAATAATAAGTTGCTCTTGGGAAATGTTACTGCAAAATGTTGAAGTCTTTGAAACATATCTGATTAATATACCAAACTTGGATGGAGACTGACTCTGGATGCAGAATCTTAATTTGAACTATACTTAACTGAATTTACCTGTGGTCATTTTCCCATTTAGGATTATAATTAGGATTGCTGCTCTGAGGGTAGGCAGGAGGTTGATAACCAGTCAAGAGCATTTTGGAAGTCTCACTGAACAAGGTATAGTGCTCTATGCTTTATACAGAGTTACAGAAACCATTGATAGTGCTTAGTTATCCAAGCCAGGCATTAATTACCCTTACCCAGAAGTTTTGACTTCAGGTTAAACACATAGTTATCCAAGCCAGGCATTAATTACCCTTACCCAGATGTTTTGACTTCAGGTTAAAGACATTAGTACATTGTTAAAATGTTTTTAAGTGTTTTCCCCTAAGGCAGTGGTCGGCAAACTCATTAGTCAACAGAGCGGCAAACAGCGACTCACAAGCCGCATGTGGCTCACAGTTTGCTGACCACTGGCCTAGTCTCCTAAGGTAACTGTTCCATCATTCTCTTCTCTTCCTTCACTGCCTGCACCCTTACATGTTTATTGGATATTGCATATCCTATTGATTCCACTTAAGAAGCATTCCTTAAATCTTTTCTTTTTTTATCTTAACATTTATTATTGATTTCAAAGAGGAAGGGAAAGAGAGATGTAAAAACATCAATGATGAGAAAGAACCATTGATCGGCTGCTTCCTGCATGTCCCACACTTGGGATCAAGCTTAAAACTCAGGCATTTACCCTGACTGGAAATCGAACTGTGATCTCCTGGTTTCATAGGTCCATGCTCAGCCACTGAGCCACGCCAGCAAGGCAACACACTTAAATCTTAATTTAGACTCTTCACATATCTCTGATGGATTACAGTGGCTTATATCAAGCTGAAGATATTATTAAAGATGTCTTACTCTCTGGAGTGGAACCAAGCACATTACTACATGACTTCTGTTCTCTGATAAGCTCAATATCCCCAGGGAGTTTCAGAATGTCCTCCACAATGCTCAAGAAAAATCTTTCTCAGACTCATTTGGTCCCTTTTCCCTGATGGAAAAATCTCCCAATGGCTCTTCTTTGTGAAAGTCTAAACCCTATTACTTAGCTTAAAAACCCTGTACTAGCTTTTCTCTTTTTTCCTACTATTTCTCTATCCCTTTCCTATCCCTACACTGCAACACATTCACACACTCCACCTATGCTTTAGCCACTTCTCATAATTTCTTATTCTTTAAAAACATTATGTCTTTTCATGCTTTTGAGCCTTCCCACATGACTTTTCTTTAATCTCTAATGCCTTCCTCCTTGTCCTCCACTGAGTTTGTCCACTTGATGATTTTCCTCATTAGTCAAAGTCCAGTTAAAAATCCTTCTCTCCGTAACTTTCTCATATCCCTCAGGATGAAGTAGCTGTTCTCATTAGTTCATACAGATGCCCGTTTTCTCTTGCACCAGGCTTTGTGTTAGTTGCTTTGCCCTGTGTGTGTCTTCCTCACTTGTTAGCTCCTCTAGAGCAGTCTTTCCCAAAGTGTGGTACATGTACCCCAGTGGTACGGGAAGAGTTTGGTGGGAGTATGCCTTGCACCAGAACTTGGTGGGGATATGCACTATAAAGTGCTTAGCTGAGCCTAATTCTATGTTCTCATGAGTACGAGGGGGTACTCAGCGTTATGAAAACTATAGAAGGGGTACACATATGTCAAAAGCTTGGAAAACACTGCTCTAGAGTAAGGATGTTGCTTATTCATCTGTGTGTCTCAGGTCTGAGCATAGCAGGTCTCCAGAACATGCTTTATAAATGAGAAAACAAATCCTATCTAATAAAAGAATAATATGCAAATTGACCATCACTCCAACACACAAGATGGCTGCCCCCATGTGAACATAAGATGGCCACCACAAGATGGCCAGCAAGGGAGG